TTTTTACATACACAAATATTGAACATATTGAGAACTTTAAGAAGAGTTCCAAAGGGAAAATGTTTCCCACTGCCCTTGTTGTGTAATAATATAGAGAGCTTTAAATTTTAGTCTCAAACTATAGCTGCACCTTTCAGATTTGGCACCTAACAGTAACAGATGGTAATGTTAAAAATAAATAGAACATTCAAGTTGTTTATACTGTAGTCAAAGACAGTTTTAAAGTGTGAAACAAGCCTGAGGATGATAGAATTCACATCATCCTTTCCAAAATGTATTAAATATGCTCATTTCCCTAAGCCAATCCTGCAATGCTGCTCACAAAAGATAAAATATTATCTTTTGAAGGTGTGCTGTCATTATATGTCATTACTAATTTAGAATTAAGAATGTCATACAGATCTATTAATAGAAAACTATTTTCCAGAACTATCAATAACTGATTAACTTAAGTTTTAAAAGCTTCTGGAGGTTAGCACTATTAAAAATGTCACTTTCTCATTCAAAACATGCGAAAGTATTTGATTTCCACAGTTTAATATCAATGTTAAGCTAATTTTTAAAAATTCAGTTTATGGTGTCTCTCTTGAGATAAAATTATCAAAGATGAGACTTGAGAATGAATATAAGTTAAGCTTGTTATTCAGCAGAAATGTATAAAAATAAGGCACAAGAAATCAAAATAAATTTTTTATGTTGAATTTTAATACCTTAAAATAGTGACCACAAAAAGCTATGATCATCTCAATAGATAAATAAAAAGTATTTGACAAATTCTAACAACCTCTTATGGTAAAATCACTCAACAAACTAAGAATTGAAGGGTACTTTCTCAACCTGATAAAGGGCATCTACAAAAAGCCCACAGTTAACCTCTCACTTAATGATGAACGACTAGATGTTTTCTCTTAAGATTAGGAATGAAAAAAGCATATACTTTCTTGAAACTTCTATTCAATATTGTGTTAGAAGTTCTTGCTAGGGCAGCTGGGCAAGGAAAAGAAATAAACCTCCAGTGGGAAAAGAAGAAGTAAAAATATGTCTATTCACAGATGACATGATCTTGTATATAGAATATCTCAAGGGATCCTCTAAAAAACAATTAGAACTAATAAACATTTCAACTAGGTGTCAGGATACAAAATTAATATACAAAACTTAATTGTATTTCTATGCACTTGCAATGAACAATAAGAAAATGAAATTAAGAAAGCAATTCAATTTACAATAGCATAAAAAGAAAAAAATAAATTTCACAAAAGAAATGCAAACTTATTCTCTGAAAACTACAAAACACTGAACAAAACTGAAGAAGACCTAATAAATGGAAAAACATCTCATGCTTATGGACTGGAAGATTTAACAAATACTGGTAAGATGGTAATACTTCCCAAATTGATATACAGATTTAATAATATCCATATCAAAATACGTATAAAAGCTCTGTAGACACTGACAAACTGATTATAAAATTCATATGGAATTGCAAGGAGACCAGAACAAAGGTAACAGTAATCAAGACAGGCTGGTACTGGCTAAAAAAAGACACATATCAATAGACTAGAATTCAAAGTCTGGAAATAAACTCATCTGTCTAAGGTCAGCTGATTTTATACAATGGAGTCAAGATAATTCAATGGGCAAGAAATAATCTTTTCAACAAACAGTATTGGGACAATTAGATATACAGTGGAATTGGACCTCATATCATATACAAAAATTAATACCATATACAAGAATTCAAAAATTAATTAAAACATAAGACTACAAACTTCTTAGAAGAAATAGAGGAGCAAATCTTAACCTTAGGTTAGGCAAAGACTTCTTAGGTAAGAAACCAAAAACATAAATGACAAAAGAAAGAATAAACTGAACTTCGTCAGAATTAAAATCTTTGATGCTTCAATGGACACCATCAAGAAAGGATAAAGGACTTGTATCTAGAGTATATGAAGAACACTTACAACTCAATGATAAAAAGACAAATAACCCAAATAAAAAAATGGGCAAAGGATCTGAATAGACATTTCTCCAAAGATACACAAATAGGTAATAAACACATAAAAAGATATTTATCATCATCAGCCATCAGGGAAATGTAAATCAAAACTACAAAGATACATACAATGGTCCTAAACCTAGAAGATACTTAAAGGAAAACAGTCCAAATTAAGTTCTGAGGCCTAGAAATTCTTCTTTTTCTTTTATTGGGAGGATGCAAGGGGTGGGGGAGGATGGAGAAGGGCAGAGGGAATGTAATACAACCAGGGGAAATAAATTTCATTACTTCCTTTTCCCTCCAATCTTTTAATCTTTGTTTTTATTTTCATTTAAAAAATTCATATCACATTAAAAAGTTTCAGAATGGATATTCTGTAGAATTTTCCCAGATTAAACTACTCATTTAAAAAAATATCTGTTTTCTTGATTTTTACCCTCTTTAACATTGCTTTACTTATTTGTGAAATACTCCACATATTTATACAGCATTGTAAATATACTATGTAAGTAATAAACATTGTTTAAAATAGCTTTAATGTTAATATAAATTGATAAAATATACAGTCCCTTCATGTGTTAGTATTCAGCAAATCATAACCATCTCTATCTCGGTTCTTTACACCTGTTATTTTCATTTATTATTTTATTCATTAAAAAGCTATATTCCTACTATATAATTATAAAAACAAATAATAACACATCTTAATAAGGCAAATAGTTCTCTAAGACTCTAAAATTTTGAATGGACATAAATGTTTGTGAAATGATCAACAGAGATATAAGAAGATATTAAAAACAAAACCACATAAACTTGAGAATGCATATTATGTCAATAAATACAAAAAAATAGTAGAACAAGCTATGTGTTTGACTAGAAGAGAAAAATCTGAAGCTCTAAGTAGTTGATAAAATAACCACACTAATGAAAAAATGTACTCACCTGGTTTTGGCACTGAGTTGGTCACTGACTGGGGAACTTTTTGATTGATTAACTCAACACAGTGTCCAGGGAAGAGTCCTACCTGCAGAGGAAGAGCAGCAAAGAGGATTCTAAACCAGAGAACAGATCAGTGCGTGAACACTGCCAATTCAATTCCAGTAATGTCCTCCAGAGTTTGTCCCAAGTGATTCTATTATTCCAAGATTCTAAATCACAGATGATGCCAATTACACAAACAAATAACATAACAATCTGTTGCTATGAGTATGCAGAGTTATGTGTTTTATTTGTCCAAAAATCTAAGTCTGCTTTTTCAGTTTAGCTTTTAATTTCCCAAACCTTTTCTTACACCAATTAGTCAGTCTGATACCAACCTATGCATGCAGTAGGTATAATTTTTACCCTTCAATAATGTACTTCACTGAAATCTCTATCTAGCTGTGTTGACATCTCTATTAATTTTTATATTTGTTGTCTTCTCTATAATTTTTTAAAAACCAATGCTAAACCACATTCAATTTTTAAAAAAATTCTCTTCATTCTCTCATAGCTTTCATGAAAAATGACAAGGCTAAAGTAAACTGGTGAAACCATCGGGCATTTAAAATCCTGGTATTTACTGTTGTTAAAGAGCTAGTACTGCACAGAGAGGTAGGGAAGTAAGAGAGAAGAAAATAGCTATTCTCAGATGTATTGACAGACTCTGGCTTTTGCAAAAACATCACTTTGACCCAGTAGCAAATTGCTCATGGTATTAGGTACAGAATCTTAAGAAGTTGTATTAGGAAAAGACTGAGCTCCAGGTCATCCAGAGATACTGTATAGCCAACAGAATAAATACATAGATACAAAAGTATCTGGAAACAAAAGTAAAAAGAAAATCTTTACCAATACTTATAGATGTTTCCTTAAATAAGAATATAAATGGGGACTCTCTTGTCCCCTCCTGGTGTGAGCCAAAACATAAATGACAAAAGAAAGAATAAACTGAACTTCGTCAGAATTAAAATCTTTGATGCTTCAATGGACACCATCAAGAAAGGATAAAGGACTTGTATCTAGAGTATATGAAGAACACTTACAACTCAATGATAAAAAGACAAATAACCCAAATAAAAAAATGGGCAAAGGATCTGAATAGACATTTCTCCAAAGATACACAAATAGGTAATAAACACATAAAAAGATATTTATCATCATCAGCCATCAGGGAAATGTAAATCAAAACTACAAAGATACATACAATGGTCCTAAACCTAGAAGATACTTAAAGGAAAACAGTCCAAATTAAGTTCTGAGGCCTAGAAATTCTTCTTTTTCTTTTATTGGGAGGATGCAAGGGGTGGGGGAGGATGGAGAAGGGCAGAGGGAATGTAATACAACCAGGGGAAATAAATTTCATTACTTCCTTTTCCCTCCAATCTTTTAATCTTTGTTTTTATTTTCATTTAAAAAATTCATATCACATTAAAAAGTTTCAGAATGGATATTCTGTAGAATTTTCCCAGATTAAACTACTCATTTAAAAAAATATCTGTTTTCTTGATTTTTACCCTCTTTAACATTGCTTTACTTATTTGTGAAATACTCCACATATTTATACAGCATTGTAAATATACTATGTAAGTAATAAACATTGTTTAAAATAGCTTTAATGTTAATATAAATTGATAAAATATACAGTCCCTTCATGTGTTAGTATTCAGCAAATCATAACCATCTCTATCTCAGTTCTTTACACCTGTTATTTTCATTTATTATTTTATTCATTAAAAAGCTATATTCCTACTATATAATTATAAAAACAAATAATGACAAATCTTAATAAGGCAAATAGTTCTCTAAGACTCTAAAATTTTGAATGGACATAAATGTTTGTGAAATGATCAACAGAGATATAAGAAGATATTAAAAACAAAACCACATAAACTTGAGAATGCATATTATGTGAATAAATGCAAAAAAATAGTAGAACAAGCTATGTGTTTGACTAGAAGAGAAAAATCTGAAGCTCTAAGTAGTTGATAAAATAACCACACTAATGAAAAAATGTACTCACCTGGTTTTGGCACTGAGTTGGTCACTGACTGGGGAACTTTTTGATTGATTAACTCAACACAGTGTCCAGGGAAGAGTCCTACCTGC